ATAAAGACTTACAAGCCCAGACAATCCTGTCTTGCTCTGTTCGTTGCTTTGACCCACTGTGACTAAAACTACGAAAGGCGGCCTGGTCGAGGCGCTGGAGATAGCCTTGCCGAACTGCGAGCCCAACAAGCGACCAAGCTGTTCTATCTTCGCTAAACAGATTTTGGGAGGATTCAGATGAGGTTTCTTGAACTTGAATATGGGGAAGCCACTCCGCCAAAAGCAACAGTCCCTGGACAGTTGCTGGGGTTTGGGTCCAGGGGCGTGCCAGGAGTACATCAACCAAGAGGCGTTGGGTGTGATCCCAGCAATAACGGTGGGTGAGTGAATGGTGGGGATTGTCTCTCGACGCAATGGTGAGGATAGCTGTGAGAAGAAAGTATTCAGACCGTTGAATCTGGCTCATTCTTGATAAAACCAGCAAATGAGAAGGGACGATCGGACAATACGGATGATAATAATTGTGATACCTGGTCTCCGTCAGTAGACACGGATGAGGTTTTATGAAGTGTGGCTAACTCATGTAGTAGCTCAAATACTAGGCTAGGGCGCAATACGCCTCTCTTTACCAACTCGTAATCATCAAAGATAGTGGCCGAAGGCCTCTGGTGGCCTTGTGAGTCCTGAGACTGGTTGGTGTCTGACGCGCTTGCTCCATGAGCTGCCGCGTCCAATTGTTCCTCCAAGTTTGCCGTGCTGGTGAACTGAGCTTGAAGCCGACTTCCGGCCCGGACCTGACCAGACATGGCTAGTATCTGCAGCGCATCAGATGGATTCCGGAGTTCCATAGCTAGGAAATCTCCAGGATTCTGTCTGTCAACGCTGCCTTCACAATCCGAGAAACATCCAGTCACATCAGACATGCTATTAGCCGGTTCCACGTCAGGCCTATTTGAGTCTTCGGTATTTGTTGGCGGCGGAGTCTTCTGCCGTCGCGAAGTGGCCGACTTGTGCTGATGCTGTCGAAAATTACCCCCTCGCCTGGATTTGATGAGGACACATTGGCTCTTAGTATCATGACAATAGACACAGGGAGCTTTGCCTGGTTCTCCGATGGTATCACTATAGCCGTATCAGCCGGTACTTGGGCAGTGAAAGCGTCATCGTTGATGTAAAGAGCATCCTTACAGGTCGCATCTGGTCTTGCGCTTACGGCATCGCAAACAGGCACGAGACGACCTCTTACCTGTACTGGCAGTCATGGTTGCCGAATTCCTTTATACATCGGTAATAGCTAGTGATTCCGAAAAATCTTTAGAATCGAGATCTTTTCAAAGGTATGAGGGGGACGATGTGGAGAATCTCGGCTATAGCCGAAAACCATTGCCGAAGCCGTGTCTTACGGGATTGCGGCGACAACAACAAAGCAGACTGCATATCATTACTTAAGGGTGATTGCGCACTGAGAATTCACATGAATATTGATTTTCAGGTGCTTGGGGTTGATTGTTGCTGGCTACACTATAATCTCATCGCGAGAATGGCGAGGTTGGCCTGAAATAGGTACAAAGTACGTTGACGCTTTAAGGGAGCCCCATCCGCTGATCGCTCTTGGGATTCAGGCCCCATGCTAAACTGCTGTCATCATGCACAGTAGCACGCCGCATGTCTCTCCTGTACTTGGTCATGAACTCGCCACTGATGGCACGGTGCATCGTACATGTATTATCCCAAACAATCATATCACCAACATTCATCCATTCCACTTCAATGACGTACTTGTCTTGAGTGGAGTGCTCGAAAAGCCTATCAAGGATCTTCTGAGATTCTTCTGGAGAGACACCTTCGAGTGAGTGGATGTGTTTGGCAAGGTAAATAGTGGGAATGCCGGTGCGCTCGTGCTCTTGCAGTAGTAAGTGGCGGGACATAAAATGGTCTGCAGGGTTAACATCCTTGAAATGCTCCGGAGCAGCCATTTTCTTGGAATGTAGGATGGAATGACGGGCAATGAAGTTTCTTTCGTGGAGGAAGTGCTTGAAATCGTCGTCAAGGTCACGGTAGGCGCCCCTTATGTCGGCAAAGGCAGTAGAGCCCCCAGTCCCGGGTGGCGGCAGCTCATGGGCAAGTAGAAGAGAGTAACCGGCTCGGCGAGGGTTGAAGCTAGAGTCCGTGTGAAACAGAGAGTTACCCTGGAGACAGTCAGTTCTATTCGTCTTTCTCTATCTCGGTATGGCACTGAATAGGAGAGTAAATTCACACCTTATTCGCCTCACCCCTCGGGCTGTTTATGTCCACAATGGAGCCGTCAAGTTCGATGTTACCCACGTCAAAGAGCTCGTTGTATTTGAGACGGTGCACACGACCCGCCTTATTGTAGGGCGTTACATCGTCAAGTTCACCAAACTTGCGAGCCAGCTCGAGGTGGGTCTCGTCGACGAGGTTTGTCTTACGGACAACGGCAAAGCCATACTGTAATAGTCTCAGTGTATGGTTTCGCACGAATTTGTTACCAGTTTACTACTAACCTTCTTTACCGCATCCTCAATAAAGCGAAACGCTTCATCAGTGACACCGTAAGTGAAATCCAGGCCAGTAATCTCGGCACCGAAACCATTTTTAATGACCTTGAGGTCCGGCCTGGAGCAAAGGGCGGTTTGAGTGACGGTAGAAGTGGTGGACATGGTAGCACAAACGATGCAATAATGATGAATAGACAAAAGAGTGGAACTTATTGTCCAACTTGGAGAATTGCTAACGATGGGCAAGATTGATGAAAGAAATTGTTCACCTTTTTATACCGGCAGGCAAGGTCGAGAAACTAGACTATGCAGGAAACAATCCATTGCCGATAGTAGTGAAGTCATTCCCATATTGACAGGTAATGGAGGTACGTCCTTTACCGGCGGACAATAGCCGTAATCTAGCAGGTGATAGTACCAAATCCTTTACCTTGAAAGATAGTATTGGCCCTCGAATCATGAGGTGTATCATATAAGCAGATCTACATATAACTATGATCGGCTATGGCGCCTCGTATCGGCTATAGGTAATGCCTTCCGTCGGCTTCGGTGTCCAGATGGGATTATTGCACATCGAACGGCTATACGAATCGCTAAAATGATAGATAAAGTTGATTAATAACGTTATTTTCTTATGCATTCACACTAATTTAGTTGCTGTATGCATTGCATTTTGCGGAGTATTGACTTCATTGCAATGTTGATTGTAAACAAACTTTGGCAGGCGAATAAGTTTTACTGCCCCGTTAGTGGTTATTCAAGTGCCCATAACTCCACAAAAGTAAATCAGAGTGGTAAGAACATATACTTCAACCTACAGCATACATGACAGCAAGGTGGTGGGTTTATGACTGAGATCAGCTTTGCCATTGCGGAAAGTGCGCGCGGATCATCTAGTACACCTACAATTCCGACGACTGTCCTGCGTCCTTCATGATAGCGGTCTGGTATGGGCTGTTAGCGAGGGTTAATGAACCACATCCTTCCACTAGCAAGCTTTTAGTTGGAGCCGTTTTATCCTCGAGGAAAACTAGGGCTCTACTGCACAAACTCGCATATTGTGGGTGTGGGTCTATAACCTAGGCAGTGGATTGTATCCACAAGATGTGCCTGAGCGCTGAGGAATCATGGTCCCCCAATAAGTCGATGCTATATAACTCTATATTCATGGATGGAACTGGATCTTTCAGGGAATTGTGAACTTGTAGCCTGTGTCAATAATTTATTATCCGATCAATGTCTATACTGTTGAAGGGCGGCAACTGCAACCACCACTAGAATGAACACAGAACTTCCGGAAGAAGCACCTTAACAGCCAGATAGCCCATGGTAAGTTCACATATAGATCGGAAAATGGTCGTGAAGAAAGGGCTTCGTGACAATTGTGAACACATATGGCATTTTGTTTAGATTTACAATCTAAATACAACACCTGAACGTATGCTGTACCTCTATATTATCAACTGTTTCTCTTGCTGACTGTGCTTGGCTTCATGCTAGACTTCTTACCGACATGTCGATAACAATCTGCTCTACACCACGGGTTGCACGAGCCCAGTTAGCCCGGGGACCACATACTGGGCCGACTAGCTACGAACCATTTTCCCGGCGCAGGATGGCTACATCAAAATCAGGTATACGTATAAGGCCTCTGCGGTAGACGGTTACGATCCGCGGGTATAAGATTTGGTTTTACGGAACGACTGTTTTGGAGAACTTTTCATTTTTGTTGCTCGGGGAGGCCTGCAGTATTCAGGAAAGTTCAATTGGGAAGAACATTGGCTGCATGACCTGTAGATACCGATGCCTAATTGGCTCACAGAAAATTTAAAATATGGGAGGATTATTCTGCATGCCGTTGAAGTTATCTTTTTACATCCAGCTCATGCTGGGCAACTCAACCTCACATATGTATTCAGCTCTCGACAACCCTCTTCGTCATCAGTCGATGCGACAGAGGCGTTTACTTTCCTTCGAGTGATAAAGCGAGAGCGACCCCCTAAAACTGTAGATGCGCGGCAGTTCGATTGTATCTACCTCTAAGCATTCTATTAATATGGGGCATAAGTCATTACGGCTACTTCCTATGCCTGTCCCTGGACAAAGTCCGCTATATGCTTTGAGGTATTCGGACTTTCATTTGATTTCACCACTCATATCTATTATACTTCTTGAAGACTGACTCACTAGATTAGTTCTCTGCGTCTCCCAATATACAGCATTAGTCGCCAATACGTACAGAGAAAACAAGCCATCCATCCATGCGGGGGCATTAGTCACGTGTGATGTCACAAACACAGTATGAGGAGCCTACTGTCAATATGATCGTTATACTTTGCCCTTTCCGTACAACTAACTGTAAAATACTATGGCTCTGTCAACACACTTCCTGGCTAAGATGGGATCTTTGACATCTATTAGAATTGGCGTAAGATTCAGTGAAAGACACAGCTGAACCCATGTGTCCACATCTCATATGACATAAAGTAAGTTCCAATAAATGAATCCTAGCTGAAATTAAAACATCAGATAGGCACAGTTTCACGGCTCCACTTCCACAACACCATCAGGAATACACTTGGACTTGGCGACAATTCTCCTTGCCAGCATACTGATGGGGATATTACTCAAGAGATCAAAAACTGAGACGTCCGCCTGCAACTCGGTGAAAATCCACCCCCGTAGCTCTACCGCCAGCAGACTATCTACCCCATAACTGCTCACAGGCCGCGTCTGCTCAATATCATCCACCGGCATCATCATAGATTTGGCCAATTTTGCCACCAGTGCCTCACAAACGATCTCTGACGCGGTGTCCATACCTGTAACCCGCGATAACTGCTCCTGTAGTTGGACGGAGGCTTCATTCCTGGTTTGTATAACCTGGTGCGTGTCAACCTGCACCAGATGCGCGAATTTCGCGTCATTGAACCACCAAGGGTACTTCTCTGCGCCCTGGGCCATCATTCCACCGGTTCCGAGACCGGTGACCAGCTGGGGTGGAATTGGTTGGTTCTTTACGCTTACCCCGGTGATGGCAGCTTGAACGATTCCGAGAAACTCCTTTTCGCGGATCCCGATAAAACTCCACGTTTTTGTGTTGTCGTGCACCCGCTCTTCGGTGGTGTCGGCGAGGAAGCCTACACCTAGGACCATGCCTACGTCGATCGAAACGCCGTGTAGGTTGTGGTGTTGCCGATAGTGGGCGATGGCATCTTGGAAGGAGTTGCCTGAGATGTTGTTAGAGTTTCTCTTGTGATTTTCCTCTTTTGCTGGTAGAGTAAATGGCGAAGTTTACCTGCGGAGTAATTTCCCTGGCCACGGGATCCAGCTATACCAACGCCAGAAGACAGAAGCACAAAGAAGTCCATATCCTGTGGTAGGTACTTGTGAAGGTTCCAACTTCCGTGTACTTTCGGTCGAATGGTACCCAGAAACTGCTCGTGGGTCATGTTCTGATAGATAGCATCCTGTGACCGTCAACATAAGTCAGCTCCCGAACCGTTCGAGAATGTGAGGTAAAATATACGGAGAGTTTTGCATACGTTGAGGACCATGGCACCTTGGATGGCACCCTTCACAGGGGGAAACTCCTTTCGTAATAGCGCGGCCACAGCTTCGACCTCATTCGCGCAACTGACATCGCATGCGTATGCTGCTACCCGGGCCCCTTGGCTTTCCAAAGCCTGGACTGTCTCCCGTAAAGCGGGCTTCTTCAAAGCTGACCGAGATAGAAAGACTATGTTTCGGGCCCCCAGTTCAACCATCCAGCGCCCTAGTGCCCGTCCGAGACCTCCAGAGCCACCGGCAAGAACGTACGTAGCGTCTGGATTGAATCGATATGGAGGGACCTTAGGAGGCACGCACTGTTTTGGGTTAGATAGTCCAGGAAACAGGGATAAGTTATGGTATCATACTGGGACAAGCTCAAGGTCGGCTGGTTCTAGAACAATCTTGCCAATGTGTTGACCAGTTTGCATGAGGCGGAAAGCTTCCTCAATTTTGGTGAAAGGCATAGAGATGAGTGGTCTGATTGGACGAGCGATGCCCTTCTGAAGCAAGTCTACCACCTCCACGAACACCTTAGACGCTAGGGGAAGATTGTTATCGAGGACAGCCAGCATGTTGATGGAGTGGAAAGAAACATTGCGAATGAAGGGCGCCATATCCAGGCCGGTGTTCCCAACTGCAAGAGTTAGTTTATTTCAGTGCCAGGTCAGATGGGATTCAAGTACCGATATCTTTCTGCCCCAATTCGATGAACCTTCCAAAGCCACGGATGCAATGCCATGATTGCCTCAACGACTCGCCCGCAAGGGAGTTCAACACTACATCGACGCCCTTCCCACCGGTCATTCGCCTGATACCCTGCGCGAAAGAAATATCGCGACTATTGAAAATGTGATCGTCGGGAATGTGGTATGATTCTATTAGGAGAGCTTTCTTGGCTTCAGAAGATACCGTGGCGAAGATTTCAGCGCCAATATGCTGGGCCAGGATAATGGCTGCTTGGCCGACGCCTGCTTTGACTTAGTAAATGAAAGCATCGTTTTACACACAAAGACGTACCTCCAGCAGCGCCGTGGATAAGGACGGTTTCCCCCGGGAGCAGTCGAGCGGCATAGTACAGTGCATAATATGCGGTACTGTACACGACCGGCAAGGAAGCTGCAGTGGCAAAGTTCATTCCTTCGGGAATTTTTTGCACCATATCAACTGGGCTCCGCAAGAGATTGCTGAATGCTCCCGGGCGCCATGTCATCACTCTGTCTCCGGGACAGAACGTATGGACGCCAGAACCGACGCGGCTTACAGTACCACTAGCATCGATACCCAGCCCAAGTTGTTGCAATTGGCCCATGGCAACCATGATATCCTTGAAATTCAGCCTATCCCTTGTCAGCATGATTCGTGTATAACCAGAGACGCTTGCTCTACCCGACTCCCTTGATCTCAATCTCCACGTCAAAATCCTTCAGAGGTTCCTGCGGACTTAGGTCATCCACAAATTGGAGCGTATCTAGCCTTCCTGGAGTCCCAACGGAGAGAGTCATGGGGCGCCCTTCCTGCTTGAATGGAGCCTCCTCGGCCTTGGGCGCAACATTATATGTAGCAATTAGGTCATTCATGCCTTTCTCCATAAGTATCCTTTGGACCATTGTGCGCCCGTTGCGGATGGCATACTCCCAATCCGGACGCGGGCTATGCTTAGAACTTCCACCTTTGATGAAAATCTCGACCATACTTTGAACATTTTCAGATGTGTCCATTGGTGTCCTCGCATCAAGATCCAATGTTGTGAGCGCAACCTGGGGGTTTTCTGCTCGAATGCTGCGTGCCATGCCAGTCATCAAGTTCGCGAAAGGGAACTCGCTAGATTTCGTAGCGCCCCTGCTGACCCATGTAGTATCAGCTGATTGAAGAATGACTGTTTTCAAGGCATTCCAGTCCTCTGGGGTAATGTCGGCTAAGAGCGGATGTTTGGAATCACATTCCAGCAAGGCCAAGCATGATTTGCTCTTGATACCTTCCACCAGGACAACGTCCTTCAAAGTCGTAAAAGATACCCCTACCCCACGGCTGCGCAGGCTTCTTTCAAGCTCGCTCAACAGTCTGTGAAGCTCGTCCGAGGGTGATTCAGGCCCTATAATGATCGCCTCTGTCTGTACACTTTCTAATTCTGGGGGAGCAACTGATGAGACAAGAACTGATAAGAAATGATCACGCGGATTTTTCCAGTCGGGAAGGCAGACATTGATGCCGGTGTATCCACAACGTAGTAATGATTTGTTCCACTCGGATTCTGTCAAGACCGGACCCCATTTACGTCCGTCCTCCTCTCCGACCCACCAACCTTCAAGCGACCCCACGATCATTGTCGCTCGGAGGAGAGGGTTGGTGATTTCGCTGAGGACCAATTTTCCAGAGGGCTTCAACATCTTCTTAACGTTGCCCAACGTAGTCTCCAAGCAACGGGTTGCATGTAAGACGTTGGACGCAATAATGACATCGTAATAGCCTTCCACAAATCCTTGACTGAAAGGATCTTCTTCGATGTTGAGCCGAGCATAGGTCATGAACGGAGCCCAGGACTTCAGTTTTACCTGCGCTTTTTCAAAGAATCCCGAGCTAATGTCGGTAAAGGTGTAGTTGGAGAACATAGGACTGGTCCCATTTTGTCCCCCGAGGGCTTCCAGGACGGGAAGTGTTGCGCCTCCGGTGCCGGCGCCGATTTCGAGGATCTTCATGTCAGGATTCTTGTGCGCGAAAAGACCCAGGTATGATGAAAGTTGGGAGTAGTTCTGGGGACATCCCACGCCACTGGAGTAGAAATTATGCAACAGGCCATCTTTCACAAGAACCTCGAGCGGGGTAATATTACCGCGAAGAATATCGACAAGGTATTTCCCATGCTGGCACATCACGGCGCCGTCTGTTGTATTCCTGGAGACGCGTTCAAGTGGCTCGTTTTCATATTCAAGACTTGTTTCCAACCAGTTAATGGTTGGTGTCGCTTGTTGGTGCGGGATTTTGCCCTGCATACCGAGCTCATAGGTTCTCTGCATATATTGGTAAAAAGTGCGATAGTGGCCAGTGAGACTCTTTGCTTCTTCTGTGTCAATAACAGTGAGAACACGTTTGATGATGACAAATGCACCCAGCTCAAGTTCGGCGATGACTTCTGGGCTAGTAGCTTCGAGATCCTTAACAGGTCTCGTACAAAGCTTTGTGATGTCTTCGCGCCGAAGCATGGATACATCTTCTCTCCAGTGAAAATAGCTCGTGAGCTTTCTCGTACTCGCGGCCGCTGCCGTGCTATCTGTAGCCCCGGAAAGTGATTTACTCCTGATTCCATCGAAAATTACGAGCGGCTTCCTCCATTCCGGCGTAGAAACCGCCACAGTGGCCTCACCACCATCGAACCCTTGCAGTTGCACGGTAGCGTACCCTTGCAATAAAGAGCCTGCTTCTGATGGCACGTCCGCTGATACGTAGAGCCTGCCAATTGAGGTGGGTACCTTTGCCATTGTCATCTCTTCACCAAGACCGCTTGTAGCAGGCAATGCCATTTGAATAATGCTATCCAAGGTGGCTGGGTGAATGACATGCTCATATTCGAACTTCATGGGCATGCGACTCCTAGTGTCAGGAACTCGAATGGAACAGGCTGCCTTGTAATGACCGTGTTGGATTTCAACCATGCTTTGAAATATATCTCCATAATAAAGTCCGATGGTTGTAAGATGCTCATAGAATTGACGGGGGTTCTGCGACTCCTGACATTCATCAACTGTTTGGTAGAACGTCTGTTTGGCAGCTCGGTCAGCTTCTTTCTCCTCATCAACAAACAATGAACTCTTTGATTCAGTGTACTTGATCCGGAGGAGACCAGAGCAATTCTTGTCCCAGCCTCCATGCCTGGTATACAAGGTGAACTCCTGCCAGGCGGAGGTCCTAGCTCCTGAGCCAATCCTCCACGGTTGGAGAGAGAGAACCATTTCGACTCCGACATCATCAGCCGGGACCACAATAACTTTGCCAATAATGATATCCCGGAGTTCAAACCCTTCGATTTCCTTATTGGGATCGGCCTTCTGCTTCGCTGCCTCGATGGCGGCAACCATCATTCCTGCTGCAGGGTACAAAATGGACCCCTGCACCTTGTGGAACTCGATCCATGGCGCCTCGCTCAGTCGGATGATATTTCTCCAACGTGGATCAATGTCAACGCCATCTACCGTCAAGCTGCCAAAAAGGTCTTTTCGTGGATGTTGACGGAAGCGGTGATTCGTTCCTGAGGCAGACTCAAACCAATACTTGTGCTGCCGATTCCAGGAGAACGAAGGGACGTCAACCAGGTATGTCTGCTGCTTTCGAACAATATTTCGACTGTTGACCCTGGCAATATCCACCGTATACCCATGCGTGAATAATGCCCCAACTGCCTCTAAAATCGTAGTAGAAGCATTTTGCCCGCGGCGTAGAAGAGACATATATGTCAGCTGGGATGTCTTGGCATTAGAATTGAGAATTTGGTTGATAGGACCCTGTAGCGCGGAATGAGGACCGATCTCCAAGAAAATATCAGCAAATGGTTTCGCTAATCGCCTGGATTTGCTGTTTGGCGAGTAGTTGCAGAGACTCTGCACAGCTCCCAAGAAATTAACCGGGTTCAATAGATTTGCAACCCAGTAAGAAGATATCAAATCGCCGTTGCTGATAAGCCCACCCGTGACACTGGAGAACATTTTAATGGAGCTGTCCTCTTTTTGAGGAACGATGCTACTCAGGCTGTCAAGGTACTGTTTGGCAATGACTTGCATATGTGGTGAATGATATGCAGTCTCCACTTTGAGTCTTCGGGCGAAGTGGCCATTATTTTGTATCAGTGATTCCAGCTCTTGGATTGCCGAAGTATTACCAGATAAAGTCACGTTGTCTGGGCTGTTAATACAGGCCACAACAACGCTACTGTCTTTCGTTGCTTGCAGATATTTCTCAACGCCTGCCAGACCGAGGCCGACAGCCAGCATACTGCCATTCAGATCTGGTGCAATACCACGCATGCTTCCCGACAATCGTCCTCTGTGGTAGGAGATGAGCCATGCATCCTCCCTACTAATGGCGCCTTTAGCATACGCGGCTGCAATTTCACCACTCGAATGACCAACAACAGCGCACGGCTTTACGTTCCAATGTCGCGTAAGGTCCACCAGGGCCACCTGAATAGCAGTACAGATAGGTTGGCTTAGAACAGGTGAATCTATCCTGGAAGAAGACTCGTCCCGCAGAAGCTCGGAGACTAGTGACCAAGTGCAACCAATCGACACGAGATACGCTCCGGCATCCTCCAAACTCTCCCGGAACACTTGATGGATAAGCAGTTCACGACCCATTCCAAACCATTGAGCTCCTTGCCCGGTAAATACAAAGGCCAACTTTGGCTGGGTGCTGGATCTGAGGGGCTTTCGTTTTCTTTCAACAAGTTCCTTGGCCAGCTCTGCTGGGGTTGAGGCAACTGCAAAGCCTTTCCATGGCAAAATGCTGCGTCTGGCTGCAAGAGTGTAGGCGAATCTGTCCAGAAGCTGCTGCTGGTCGCTGTCGCTGAGCTCCGCAGACTTGAAAGACAAATAGTCGGAGTACATCTTGGCTGTTCTTCCAATCCCGAGCTGTTCATGAGAGGTCCAAATGAACAACATCGGCTGTTTGATTTTCCCACCGGAGAGATAGTCAGCCATCCGCAGATCTTCAAGCTGCATTGGGAGGAGTGAGATGATATCAGAAGCCGGAGGGGTCAAGCCAACTGCAGAATCGGCGGAAGACACGGGGGACTGATCTTGGAAGCCCTTCATGGTGTTATGATTGCCAGTTAGTCTTCTGGCTTTTAGATAGTGATAAGCGTCATCCAGAATGCAGTGAGCATTTGTACCACCATAGCCGAATGAATTGATACTGAGCCGTCTCATCCCTGGCCTAGGCCATGGGGTGAGCGTGGTGGGAATGGCGAGGTGGGACTCGAGAAGTCGGATCCGATCATTTTGTTTCTCGAACCACAAACTAGGTGGTATCTCGCCATTTTCCAGGGCAAATACAGCTTTCACCACTTGAGCAAGACCAGAACCACCCTCCAAGTGCCCAATGTTTGTTTTGATTGAGCCGATATACACAGGATCATCTGGGGATCGTGACATCCCAAACGTAGCTGCCAGCGCCTGTGCTTCGACGGGGTCACCCGCAGGAGTGCCAGTGCCATGGGCCTCGACATAAGCCGTGTCAGCGAAGCCAAGACCAGCCATCCGATAGGTTTCCCGAATTAAGCTCTCCTGGGCAGTCGCTGATGGGAGCGTGATTCCAGGAGTGTTACCATCCTGGTTGACCGCAGTCCCGCGGATTACAGCGCGGACCACATCATTGTCTCTCAGTGCCAGATGCAATGGCTTAAGGATGACAACGGCAGCGCCCTCGCCACGGGAATAGCCGTTCGCCTTGTGGTCAAAAGATTGGCATTTGCCGTCGGGACTGAGAAAGTGGAGCGATGTCATAGCAGACATGATATCCGGAAGCAGTATGAGGTTGGTTCCACCGACGACGGACTAGGAGAAATCTCCGTTAGCGGGGTCCATGCTTAATGACCGATAGCGAGAAATACCATCTCTGACTCTCCAGTCCTAAGGCTCTGGCATCCCAAATGCAATGCAACGAGAGAAGAAGAACAGGCAGTATCGAGGCTAACACTTGGTCCTTTGAGGTCAAAGTACCAAGAAATCCGATTGGACATGATGGCTGAGCCTGTACCAGTACCGTGGTATAGCGGGAGGTTCTCCCGATCGCAGGCAAGCATGTCACTATAATCACGCGTAAAGCAACCGATGTAGCAAGAGGTCTTGGACCCCACGATGTCCTCGAGACGTTGACCCCCTATATTGACGTTAGTCAATTGAGCTTCAAACAACGAGGCTATTACCATTTTCAAACGCTTCGTAGGTACACTCCAGCGCCATCCGCTGCTGCGGATCCATGGCCTTGGCTTCGGCTGGGGTGATTGAGAAGAAAGGGGCATCGAAATCCGAGATATCGCTCTCCATGAAGTGCGCCTTCCTTACGTTTAGCGTTCCTTGTCTCTCATGATGAGGGTGGTAGAAGGCGTCGGCGTTGAATCGGTCTTTGGGGACTTCACTCAGAGCACTCCGGCCCTGAGAGACCAGTTCCCAAAGCTTCTCGGGGCTGGAAGCATCGCCGGGGAATCGACCTCCCATCCCGATGATAGCAATGGGCATACATCCATCTTCGGTACCAGGCTGGACACCCGCATAGCGTCTATGATGGTCATCGGAGAATGCCATTGTGCGATGCGCTGAACGAGATATCAATGGTTGAGAGAAGGAAGTATTCTGGAGACCGCTGGTAACGGAATTGGAACGGAATGTAGACATCTTTTCTATCGTAGGGTAAATGTATATCCCTACATTTACTAATATAACAAGTCGACGATATCCAGTCCTGTAGATTCCGGCCTTTGATACAAACCATACGGGGATTGGCCCCATCACCGTAGGCGTTGGCAAATATCCCCGAACCAATAGAATTGGACTAAGTGGGACTGTCTATAGATCCTCCAAATACCGAAGAAAACAATGTATTTGGCTCCATTGTGAGCAGATGACACTCAGTTTGAGTAAGCTAACGGTCCATGTGCTAAGGAATGAACAAAGAGTGCACAGACTAGGCCAGACGTAGAAAATATTGTTCATGCTGCAAGGAATGTTGGAATTGCATGGCCCGGAATCTCACAAAGGCTACTCTGGAAAGTCACCGAATGTCCGCGGCGACATATAGCATGCAGGATCACTTATCTCGGTAACATATCTATTCATTCGGCCAGAAACCGGCACCGTCCCCGAAGCTAAGAATACCATGCCGGTGCAATGAAAAGAATGGCCTGTAACGTAATTCGGTTTGTGTTGACTCAACACAGTCATAATAGAGGGTGGTGCTTGTTGTGGTGGATGAATAGCTCACAATCTTGCTCTGTCATGGACCAGCAACCTCTATTGAGTCTATTGAACTAAGATATGGAGACATTAGCGCCACGTACAAAATTCCTAGTTGTTGTTACCGCTGGAGGTAGAACAAATGCAACGCCTCTTCTGGAGATCGCTCGAATACTGAGCGACCGTGGACATGTTATCGAATTCGCAACACTTGAGGGTCAGCAGGTCTGGATGCAGGATTATCCATTTATCTCCAGAATTCATATTTTAGGTCCCAACCAAACTGCGGAAGCCGAGGAACAGGCATACTTGCAAATGTCGCGATGGAAGCTAGGTCTTAATCATAGCTTTACTCCTATTATGGAAGCCCGGAAATATCTAGAATGTAGCTGGGAAACAGTCTATCCCAGCCTGTCCGCTTTGGTCCAGGACCCGGCTCGACGACCCAATTTCATTATAGGGGACTATCTAGTGGATGCGGTCCGGGACATCAAGATCGAACATGATATCACAATTGCCATGCACTGGCCGCAGACGCCAACGAACATGCTCCCAGCCACCTATATTCCTGGGGCATATGGACTTCAGATGGAGGTTCTGACCTCAGAGCACGCAACGCTGTGGCAACGACTTCAAAATTACCTCTTGGGTCTCCGCGCCCTCCCTGCATATCTGCGATATCGATCATGGGCTCGCGAGCAACGATCAAGGCTCGGGATCTATCGCAGTCTACCAAACCGCAGCAAACCCGATCACCCTCTTTTAGTAAACTCATTCTTCGGGCTAGAGCCAGCAAAAGATCTCCCACCCAACGTGATCGCAGTCGGACCAATTTTGAGCGATACATACCCAGGGCTCACACCAGATTTGCAAAGTTTTACCGCCAAATATAAAAGGATCCTATATATCTCCCTTGGGACGCATGCACTTGTATCAGACGCAGCACTGCGGCGGATTCTTCACGGTGCCACCCTCGCCCTTCAAACCGAACAGTCTATTGATGGCGTGATCTGGTCAATTCGGGGAATGGCCATGAAGCAATTTAACCTGGCTGCGACGGCACCGGCTCAAGAATGCTCTATCTCTGATCTTGTCTCAGGTGCAAATCCTCACATCTATTTTTGCCCATTCGTTCCCCAGCGCGCCCTTCTCGCGCACCCGAGCGTCTCCGTCTTCCTTACCCATGCTGGGGCCTCTAGCACCAACGAGGCCATCTTTCATGGCATTCGATCCATCACGATTGGCGTTTACTTTGACCAGATTTCTAACGCGATGAAGCTCCGGGATGCGGGGGTTTCGACTTTGCTGGATCGCGACACATTTACCCCGGAGCAGCTGTGCCAGGCAATCAATGAACAGCTGTCAGATTCGACTGGAGCCTTTGCAGCTAATTGCATCCGCTTGCAGCGAATTGCTAGAATCGCGTCAAGGCGAAAGTATCTCGCGGCAGACCTAATTGAGGAGGCACTGGCGGATGCGGAGGGGCGGGCGGAAAGTGGCAGGGGATGGACGGGCCATGCATTTGGAAACGGCTGATATGCGGATGCCAGTTTGGAAGGCTCGAAACTGGGATCTGTGGGCGTTGGGGGCCAGCATTTTTCTATTGGGGATCGGCGTGGTGGTAGCGGTTCCTCTGGCTTCCAGGATGTGTTTGTGATAGAGATCGATACCGCGCGAATTTGCACTTCCGTGTCGTCGAAATTACTTCAGACCGTGTTGCACCATAATGCGAAAGGCAACAACCAGAGGTCGTTCCATTGTCCTGCGCATCTTCCTTCACCTGTTCATCTATGCCACATTTTTTGTACTTGGATTTGTTCTAGGTATATCCAATGCGGAATAAGACTCTCGGGTCGTCTAGAAATTCTCCAATGTTCTCCCACTTCTATTCGCCTGCCTGCCAGTTAAACATTTCTTTCCTTTCTTTCCGGCATTCTCCAAACCACTCTCTTTTTCGTCCACTCGCCTACCCCTGGTCCTGCTCTTGATCACCACTCCCACATGGCTCTATCCTGCCCGCGTCTCGGAAGTTCACGGGATTTTTCTTGAATGTCCCAAGCCCAAGCACCCAACAGGCGGCAGTAATGTACAAGACCACCTTGATTTGCGCATTGAACGCTCGGCCATAGACCTCACTTACCGCGTTTTGCTTGGAAGCGGGAAAGTTACGTGAGCTCGAAACGCTCGCTTTAAGTGCGGCCATCTCATCTGTGGAAAGAACATCGGACAAGTCCCGGTCGACGAAATGGGTAATGAGAACCTGGCCAATTGAGATGCCAATTGTGCCTCCAAGAACACGCACCTGGGTCACGGCACCCATGGTTATAGCTAGGTCTGGGGCATCTACTTCCAGGCGAGATATCACGACCAGACTGGTCAAGGTTGTTCCAAAGCCGAGCCCGAGTAGGACCTGGTATCCGTACTGCGCATCAATAATGGTTCCCGTTGTTGGAAGGGTGGTCATGCATCCGAGCCCAATCAGTTGCAGCGACAACCCAACCATAAGTGTGTAGAAGGAGATGTTTTTGCGGCTGTTGATCACACCTCCCGCCCCCGCTCCCAACGCCGAAAGAAGGAGTAGTGGCAGCATTCGAATGCCGGACGCGACTGGGCTGAGCCCGTCCTGGATCTCAAATCGTTCGGGAAGGTAGACTATGAGTACCATAAACGGAAATCCGGCGAGGAAGGCGGCTCTACATATTGTTCGTCAGCTCTAGTTACTAGGGATACTCGAGACGCTCGCGACCTACATCAACGACGCGCAGACTATGCGACGTCGTATCAGCCATATCGGAAATACGGGCATCATTTTGCTAGCAAAGGAGGATGTTCTCCGGCTGTAAACCATTGCGACGTATATCTCCCAAGCTATGAAAGCAATCCAGGCAGCTCCAGTTACGATAAACGACACAACGATGAGAGAGCCATCCCAAGAAAAGGCACTGCCACCTTCTTCGAGCGCGAGAAGAAGAAATACAGACCCGATCAGCGACAGCAAGATCCCAGGCCAGTCTATGCGATTAAAACTTAGGCGATTGATGGGAAGCCGTCCGTCGTTTCGAGGGAAAAACCAGATCACAATCGCTAATGCCAGACCGCCACCGGGAATGCTTCCCAAAGAAAAAAAGAGTCGAATTAGCCACAAAGGCCTCTCTTAGTCTCGGGAAAAGAATGGAGTGGACTTACTTCAAGTAGAATACCCATCGCCATGATGCGTTTGTGGTAATGGCACCACCGAGCACAGGACCCAAAATACTGGAGAGAGCAAAGATAGTGCTCATCAGCCCAGTAACTGGACCAATACTCTCAACAGGCGTCACCTCAGCCATGACGGCCATGACCATGCTGTAAATTCCCGCCCCACCAATCCCTTGGAATGCGCGGAAGATGATCCTACTCTGTGTCAGCCTACATGCCGATGGTTCCGAACCGAAGTGATCTGGTGTTGGTTTTTCGTACAGTTGCTCCATAGTCCGTGACACTCCACAGGCAATGGAAAATGCCGTGAATATGGCCAACGCCGTTATGAAGCTGGATTTGCGACCAAATATGTCACTGCATCGGGAGTATACTATAAGAAAGCCTTCAGGCATCGATTAGCCAAAGTCACCATGAGAGATCAAGAAATATAACCATAATTACTTGTAGTAACATACCGGTATATGTGAGAAGATAAGCGACAATTATCCAGTTCGACTTGTCATAACCCCCTAAGTCAGATGCGATGGTAATCAAGGCTGTTGATACTATCGTGGTCTCAAGTGTAGATAAGAGTAGGCCTAGGAAAAGTCTTCCACTTTTGTTAAGTTCCGATTTCGATACCATACTGATAAGAAAGAGGAAGAGATTACATACGCGAATATGGTCACCCATAGCTTCCACCCCCTCATCGGTTGCAGATGCGCCTGGGGTGGTAATGGACGGAGCTCATCCTGTTGGAAGCTCTGGGATTGTCTATCGATAGCCATTCCGAGTAAGCTGTACCGAGAAGGTTACAGTATATGAAAAACTAATTGGAGTCTATGACAGTACCCTTGTTTGTGCTTTCGGGGAGTGGGGGTTGTTGACCTTTAGCATGCCATGCATCAACTGAAATGTCTCGGTGACATTCCACTTGGCCTCATGCATCAGTGATGGGGCCAGATTCGCACATGCCACGCTCGGTGACATTTAAGCCCCGCACTAACCGATCTACAAAGGCACCGCGCAGCCCTTGTGTCTTTCTAGCTAGCATGACCATCCCTCCCATCGAACATGGAGCTTTTGAACTACGACCTTGGCATGCCTGCGGGTCCTTCGGGTCTGCTTGTGGCGGCTCACACCACGGAAAACCTTCCTCGCATAATCCTGACATGCATGGTCACCTACGCGGTCACTCTTGCTATCTACCGTTTCTATCTGCACCCACTTCGGGCATTTCCCGGCCCTAGACTGGCAGCCTTCACCTTTTGGTTAACAGTTATATTTCCTTGCTGTGAAAGTCCAATGCTAACATATATGCCAGGTATGAGTTCTACTATGACGTTATTCTCGGGGGACAGTACATCTTTCAAATTCGTCGATTACACGAACGATACGGACCTATAGTTCGTATCAACCCTCATGAACTGCACATCTACACGCCAGAATTCTACGATGAGCTATTTGCGGGTGGAAATCGCAAACGTGATAAGTGGTACTGGGCAATGAAGGCATTTGGAGCGGACGAATCGACATTCGGAACGACCGATCATGACAATCATCGATCACGGCGGGCGGCGTTAAATCCTTTCTTTTCCATAACCAAGGTGCTGTTGCTGCAAAATGTGATTCAGGACCGGGCCGATGCCCTTGTAGCACGGTTGGAAGATTTCCAGAGATCTGGTGCGATTTTACACCTTGACACCGCTTTTGCAGCTTATACGGCAGGTATGTATTCGATGTCGTGACGAGGTGGCCAAACCCAGACTGAGATATTCATCGTATAGATGTGATAATGGAGTATGCATTCAGCAAGTCAGATCACAAGGTCGAAGCTCCTGACTTCGATAGCGCGTTTCACCAAGCCTGTGTCGGTGGCGGGAGATACAGTATGCTGATGAAGCAATTTCCCCTAGTTCTGTGGGCGATGAAGCGTACGCCTCAAAAATGGCTACTCCGAATGAATCCAGAAATGACGTCCTTTGTGCGAATGCATACGGTAAGTCGACCTGCGTCAAACAATCGAAGGGCAATGTCCAACTTGCGTTGAGAACTCGCCAGGCTGACGCTAGGCCCCGTTCAGGATATTGCCCGCCAGGTTCAACAAACAATGGAACTTTCAAAGCCGTCCCCAACAGATATCAAATCTACTAGGCACTTGACAATATTTCAAGAGATTCTCGACAGCCGACTCCCGCCTCATGAGAAAGCGCTCGGTCGACTGGCGCAAGAAGGTGGAACCGTGGTGGGTGCGGGAACGGTAACCACGGCATGGGCTATCACTGTAGCCGTTTTCCATCTCCTCGCCCAGCCAAGAATCCTCCGTAAGCTCAAGGATGAGCTTGATTCCACTGATGCTGATGATCTTCTGGGACTTGAAAGACTCCCATATCTCTCTGCGTGCATCCAGGAGGGTCTTCGACTCAGTTACGGAGTCAGCTCCCGACTCGCCAGAGTCGCTCGCGACGAATCGCTCACTTTCACCGACCCCAATACGCAACAGACCTGGATCATTCCACCAAAGACCCCCGTCAGCATGAGTGCCCTGCTGATCTTGCAGAATCCATCTATTTTCCCGGAACCCAATCAGTTTCGTCCGGAGCGGTGGATCGAAAACCCCGGACTGGACCGATACCAAGTAGTGTTCAGTAAAGGTAGTCGAGCGTGTTTAGGAAAGAATTTGGCATATGCTGAGATGATGATAATCTTGGCCGCTGTATTTCGGCGCTTCGGGAGCCTTGAAGTACGAGGGGAAAGGGACATCGGAAGATTGGAGTTATTTGAGACCACAGCAGAAGGTGACATTGAATGTCACAGGGATGCCTTTTTGCCTCTTTCACAGGAAGGGTCGAAAGGTGTCCGAGCCCGCGTGTGGCCTGTTGCCGTAGGCCCGCGGAGCTGGAAGTCTTTTTAACGAATTGTGACTTGGCTGATTGCTGATATATGGACAAGCAGGGAGGCTAATGGGAGGAAGGACGATCGCGGCTGAGTTTCGATGGGTAACTACCTAGCAGGAGATTTGGGCAAGCCAAACTATGATAAGTTCATTATTGTTGTTATGTGACTTCGTAATGAACTAGTAAGATAAGCATTGCATATATAAGAGGCGTGTTAAACACGCCTTCGTTCATATTAAGGTTCCCTTAATATACCGCAATAGTATCAGTGAAAGTGTTTCGCAATATTTCGTGGAACAATATATATTTCAAAGAGACGCAATCATCTACATGTGTCTGAAATTCCGTAATGTTGGTTCCATCATTCTTTCAATTCGTCCCTGCAACTGAGTTCTAATAGCTCGAATCCAGTCTTCTTAAACCGTCATAGCTATAGGAATGGGACATTGTTACAATAAAGAGTAAAATGAAGAAAATCTAAGAATGAAAGGCATATACCACTCACTGTGTGACACTCGCAGATCACAGCCGCTTGCGGGAGGGGGCGATGATGCCACGCGGAACGGATCGGCCGGCTGCCACTAGCCAGGTACTAAGGAGGCCTCAATGGCACCCCTCATCTTTTCCATTTCGTGTTGGTTGCATGACCGAGGAGACGCGGAGACATAGGGACATCTACCCCATCCTTGTCGGGCCCAGCAGAGGACAATATTAGCCCAATTGATCTCTTCCAATTGAACTCGGCTATATATGATATTACCGGTCCACCAATTCGATCCTTGCCCTGAGCATGCGTTTTCCCCCTCCCCTCTGGTCAGGACCCGACTCAGTTGTCCGCTTCATTGACTAGCGAAGATCCCCTGTCTATCGGCCTGACCTCATTGGTTATGAGTAACACTTGGTGATTGCTCCATTCCTACTGGGGGCTCTGACCAGCATGAGAACCATGTGGCTTGCACTAATACTAGTAGCGCGATGGCGATGCTAAGTCGTTGAACAAGGTGGTGCACTACTAGTATCTGATCTCACCCAATCACAAGTACATAATAATGTACATTTCCCCACATAGATCGAACCAATGTTTCTCACAGGATCACCCCAAAATCTGACGGCCGAATGGAACTTGGCTGAGCTCGCACGACTGATACTGCTCTGCCAATGAACCAAATACGACACCTACAATGACTGGTATTTCATTCGAGCCGGGGTTGTGACCAAAATTTATTGAGGCCGACCAACCACCGATTGGTGTCCCCAAGTACGTACTGGGCTTGGCTCATTATGGCAGATTAGACATCGACCTGGTCGCGATCCTCTTCCAAACATGGACTCCCAACATCGTGAGACATGCGATGCGTGCCATTATCGCAAAGTGCGCTGTTCCTCAGCAACAGGAGGTATGGGTGCCTGCTTGAATTGTCAACGGCATGGCCGACAATGCGTCTTCAGCCCACGGAAGGAAATGGGGCGACCGAGAAAGTCGAAACGGTCATGCTCGCAGGTAGATGTTGATGAGGTTTCATCGATTGAAGTGCACCAGCTTCCGGAGCTGGTGCATCACCCCCAGTCAGATGATGGCGGGCCTCTATTGTCATTAGAACCAGCTCTTCATCCGCCAGGAAATGACCCGGCTTGCTGGCCATCGGATGGTTCCCAGTTGTCTTCGGACCAGTTAGTCCCACACCAGTGAGCCCTCATGGAAGCTGTTTTTTCTTCGTGATAGGGACAAAGAGCCTAACCATCTGCAGGACACTTTTTCCAGCTGAGGCGGCATCAACAAGCGATCCGCACTTTGGCCCTCCTCTTAGTAACAGACGCGTGCCGTCTCCTATGGTTGAAGGCCACATCGGTGGTGGTTACTACTCACAAGATACCTTCCCGATTGAAGTTGAGGCCCTCTGTGCCATGGGGCCACGGGAACCTCTTCAAGGCCCTGAAAACGTGGGCCACCAGCAGTCTGCAGTCACTGATTCACGACTGGAGGTGTACGACCGACTATCCCCTCTCCTGTTTCAACTCACGCGAGACAGCCAGGCTCTAAAACGTGTCAAACCATGTTCTGGAGCTGAACTGGAGTCGGTCTTCTTTTCCGTGTCTGCATTATGCGATATAATTCACACCATAGCGCTATCTGAGCAAGGCCTAGGACTACAGAGCTGCGGCTTCTACAGTTTTCAGTCGCGCAATGAAACCGTTGTTCTAGCTCTTACAGCGGTGCTCATAGTTCTTGAGATCTACGAGCTGCTTGCACAGAACGCCATCAATGACATGCCGCTTCTGGAGCAAACCAAATCAGGAGAGCGTGAGGTCCTGCCCATCTTCTCCTCGGGCCAACAATCTCCTTCCTCACACGCAAGCCCCGGTCGCGGGCTGCACACATACGGGCGTCTAGACACCGTGGTTCGGTACACCGTCATGGACTTTCACTTAGGGCAACTGCGGCGGCTCCTGGAGTTCAACATGGAGGGTTCTACGTCCTGGCAGCCAAATGCCATATATCATTTAGAGTCAACCAGGGGGCGGCTTGATGCCCTACGGATGTGGATTCAAGACTTGGTTAGCCAGGCATGAATGCGAACTTCTCACGTGAAGGGCCATTGTCATTATGATATAAAGTCACCAACTGCCAAAGTAGCCAAATAGCGAGAAAAAGATACACATAGAACGTATCGGAAACCGTTTAGATAAGCTTAGGTGAAAATATGTACGGATGCAGAGCATGGAATGAAACATATATCGTCAGCATATGTGTTGAGCCCTGCCTATCATTCCCTCTACCAATCGTACTATCTTGGCCGTTGAGCCCATATCTCTAGGCACAATATGACCCGCATCATGGACGACTGGGATGGCATCCCCGGAACTCAGCTCGACCAGCAATTCCCCTTGCTGCCGAAATGGATCTGTTCTTCCAATTACATGCAGCGTAGGTATCTCTATACGCAGGTTTGTCGTTCGCGGATCATATTGCTGCAGGATGAGAGGGTCGTCACCAGCGCCATCGGGATATCCATTTGGTCGATGGTGCATGGCGACGATACTGCGGAGAGCCAGGCTGGAGTCCATATCAAATGGAAGACTGGCGCCCAGAAAGATAGCGAGATTAAAGAGTGGCATTGCGGTGGGGTTATCTTTCTGATGCTGGAGGATCATAGACGCAGCCAGTGCAGCCCCTTGTGAGAAGCCAATGACTCCTTCGAATGGGCCGTCTTCATCCATGACTTCTCGGATCAGGGTAAACGCCTCGTGCATTTGAGTTGGAGTTGGACATGAGTAATAGCAGAGATAAGGCCCGGAAAGGAAGGACTGGACCTTCGGATCGGGAAGGCAAGGCTCTAGGCCTTCGGCAAAGACAAACTCATGTTCAGGGAAAGAGCTGGTAATGGCGGCAATCTGGATCTCCAGCACCTGGGCATTGGCACCCATGCCATGGAGACAGAGAAACCTCATAACTGAACTTCAGGAGTTACGGTGGCTCAATCGGTCCCTCGAATTATTGGAAGGTGACGTGAATGATGCTTAAGACAATTCAGACGAGGGTTGGGTTATTGGTATTGTTGAGGCAATGTTATTAACGAGGATCATTCCGGACCGGGAAGGATCTGATCCCGGGCGGGCTTTAGCCTAGCGTCCTGGCGGGTGGCGTTGGATGGTGATACATCGCCGTCTGTCCCCACCCGGGCTAAATATACAACAGCCATATTTGCGGTTGAACCCCTGCTGCCACTAGTCCATCTCGGTGACTTTGGGCCCAACCTTTGCGTGTCATGGCTGTGTATTCTACTGCCTGCTCTCGGTCACATTCTGTCCAATAAGCTTCCAAATTTGCGGCCTTCTTTGATCAGGCTGAGACTTGGGTACAAGCGCATCCCCTACTGCCTTCTATCTTCCCCCTTCTATACCCTCATCCCATTCCATCCTTCACCCCGATTTCGCACATCCGCCCGTTAACCATTCTAGCCACCATTTTGTCTCCTCACTAAGCAAATTGAACAACGCTCAGCGGATGCCATGTCGACACCACAATGCTTTCCATACGACCCAGATATTGTCACGCCCTTCGGCTACCGACCGTCTATCGTGGCGGGCGTCATTTTCATGGTCCTGTTTGCAGGCCTCTTTGCCGTCCATGTCTGGCAAGCATTCAAGTATAAGAACCTCTGGCTAGGTCTTGCCTTCTCGCTTGGGGCTTTCGGAGAGTTCACGGGGTGGCTCGCCCGCACAGTAGCTTGGCGCTGTCCATACTCTGTGCGACTGCTGGAGATGCAGCTTGCTGCTCTGATAATGGGTCCGTTAATACCTCAAAATGCTTCTCTACTGATGGGTCACAACTAACCAACTGCCACTACAGCCCCCGCCTTCACGACAGCCGGTATCTATGGTGTTCTCGGTCTATTGATATCCATAGTTGGCCAAGATAGATCCCCTCTCACGCCCAGACAATACCTGATTATTTTCATGACGGTCGATTTTTGGAGTCTTCTTCTTCAGGCTGTCGGTGGTGGTGTTGCTGGTGCTGCTTTCAGCGCACATACCTCTTACTGGCCCGGTACATATACGATGGTAGCAGGAATAATCTGGCAACTTGTCTCAACCTGTGTTTTTACTACATTACTCGAGTACGTGATCTATCGTGCAGTATACCAGATCATGCAAAATCCAGCCCTGCGCAAAATCACTTCTTCCCTAATGATTGCATGCACGTGCATGGTGGCGCGGGGAATCTACCGCAGCATGGAGCTGATGAACGGGTGGGAAGGCTATCTCTTTACGCACGAGATTTACGCAATAATTCTGGATGCCCTGGTCATGTTTATCGCTAGCTTGGCGTTGGCAGTCTGGAATCCTGCTGTGTTGCTCAAGGAGGCTAGGAGGCATCGCAGCACAGAACTTGTGCAGCTTCGTGGGGGCGAAAGCCAAGATGCAAAGAAAGGGCATCATCAGTATCAGCCAGTGCATGAAGACCCTAATTCTGGGTTAATGGGGTAGATCATTTCACTTTCTCTCCGTCTTGGATTTAGCGTTGGCCACCAAGCCTTGCCTTCGAAATTCTATTAGATCTATCAGTAACACCCGAATCTGAGTATGACTACAACGATTATAATCCTCGTTTCTTGACACAAGGCTACGATAGAGGGGTGAAGGAGCCTGCGGGTGGCGAGGCAGTACAACGTCACCAGGTAAGGCACTATACGGATTAGAATATCGGAGACCTTATTTGGAGTACACAGACTATAGACTATAAATTTTGCTGCCAGTACAATACTCTATTCCAACATGACCTCGCTACACAACAAACACGTACACAACAACCCTACATGATATATATATATATATATTGTTGAGACATTCACTCCAGCCACTGAAGTATCAGCTGATTCTTCGTCTTCTCTTCTTCTTGCGTGGTCTTTCACCACCTCTTTTGACTTGAGCCAACCCACCTTCTTGAGATCTAGATAGATCATATATATTAACCTTTTCCCTTGTCATATATTGTAACGGAGAAGTAAACTGTTATCTATACAATATGCAATACATTCTTACCCTCCTAGTAGAGCAGATACTGCATCATCTAATTATTTAACCAGTCTGGGATGGTTAGGGCAGGCTACATCTGTCAAACATGGGAACCTCGCAAGCATTGTGAAATTAGCTCATTTGACACGAAGCGCCATATATACTCCCACCTAAACAATATATTCAAACCCATTATCCCCAACTCAATTCAACAAAGTACAATCATACACAACCCCCAACGGCGCAATATAATCCGTATGATTATACCCCAAATTCAACGACATAATCTGCCCCACACTAACATTATACGCCGTAGCAAAATCCTGCAGCGTGCCATATGTAAACGTAAAGTCCGCCATCGTGCACGCCGAATTATCACAACTCGGGATTTTCACCGTCTGCCCGGTCTCTAGCACATCATATATACCGGGGTTCAAAGCAGCAATGTACCCTGTCTGCGCAGTGAAGCTGAGAATCGAATCCGTTGTGATATTGTACCGCTCGTTGGCAATCTTCTGAATCGTATCCCCGGGTAAGATGGTATACACGTGAGGGCCGCCGTAGATGCAGGTAGCTGTTGCGTCGGTGTTGTTCGTGCTGAAGCAGGAGTAGTCGTCGGGGAAGGTAGCACGGGCGGGAATTCGGAGGGTTTCGTTCTCGTATAGGAAGTTCGGGTCGGAGAGGACGTTCAGACGGGCGAGGTCGCAGGCGCCGACGTCGTACTTGGCGGCTATGGTGTGGATAGTGTCATTGCCTTGCACGGTGTAGGTGATGTTGCTGGCTGCGACGTCCAGGTTGAGTACGGAGCCAGAGCTAGGGAGGACTGGGTGGGTAATGTTAGGATACTTGGGTCATGGCGTTGACGGTATAGGTTTGGTGTGGTTGAGTCTCACCATCGTAGTCTACAGTAGCTGGTAGAGCAATGGCATGTCCAAAGAATGCTGCTGTTAACAGGAACAGCTTGTTAGGATTTGCTAACATGATGACTTGATTGCGTGTGACCGGGGGGTTAGAAGGAGTTGTTTTTAGTCTAGGAGATTGAACAACGTTTTCGACTATTCTTCCCTACCATGCCGACAGGACCTATATATACTATTGGAATTTCTCATCACCCCACAATTTCCCGAACATAGAACCCACCAATCTGAGAGTACGTCATCCAAGCGCACCGGACATACCAAGACAACACCCCCGACATCCGATCTATAAGTTGACAAACAAGTACCGGTCATCGAAACTCGGGGCCCCGGAAAATGGGCTCACCTCTGCATACAGAAAAGTGCCCACATGGGCAGGGTGCACGCTAATGATTATGCGCTGTGGTAGCGCCCCACTCTGTCCAGTCTCTTGGGCAAAATTATCGGATCTAATATCCCCATGGGGACATTGCGGGGGGGTTTCGCTTGCAGAGATTATGTTCAGAATACACTAGTCACTACGGTGCATAGCTACTGATGTTGCGGGTATCTCTGCTGAGCCACAAACAAGCCAGTGTCGTATTTTTGAACCGGTTCAGTCTCCTGGAGTGTACGACACTTGCCGGGATGGTATACCTTGGTGTCATTTACTGCTCGAGATTATAGCCCGGATAAAGATTGTGCCACAGATAAATCTGTAGGCACGTAGCTAACGTGCCGAAGAAATCCGATGGTGCACTGGCGTATTGAGGTTTGATCCTACTACTCACTATGACTTGAAGACACTGTGTTTTTTGATGACATACCAAGTACTTACGCTACTGGATGAGTTCACATTGGACAAAGGAAAACATTCAAATGAAGGAATCTGACTTGATTTACAGAAAAGAAGAGAAAGCTTGCCAGATCAAATTCAGAAATTATAAGGACACAGTAAAATCATCTTTCCAGCCAAAAGCAGGCGTACGTATGGCCTCAATAATACACGATCAATATGCATACAGGTCCCAGTCAAGCTGGAGTTGGCATAGCTGGTCAACGTGCGGGATTAAAGAACCAGAAGGATCAGAATGCAGGAGAAGGAAGGACATTCAGACACAATTTTCTCATAAGCGTTCTAATACACCGGCATCTTGAAAGCATTCAAGTCATAGACCCAAGTCTTCATGCCCTCCGGATCATTCACGCACTCCATGATGGTGCCATTGTTTTGCCACAAAGGTCGAAGAGGCCATGCGCAGAGCTTCTGCTCTTCGCCTTCATGTTCACCCTGCAGCACCGTTGCGTTGAGCATTTCAGGGAAGACTCCATCCTCAACCCATCGGATCATAGTCTCCAGCGTCTTCTGTGGCCAAGGTCCATTGGGCTGGGAGTCATCCGGGCCACAGTGTGCCGCACCGGGAACAAGGAAAAGGCGATACCAATCTCCCAAAGCGGCGTAGCTTGCGTTCGTTGACATGTCAGGGTACATAATACGACGAACAGACTCATAGTAATGCACAGACGATGCAGTGGGAACAGTGTAATCAGATTCACCATGGTAGTGAAGCACCTTACCGCCCGCTTCGGAGTAGGGGGACAGATCGGGGTAAGTTGCCTGAAGAGTGTCGTCGTATTTCTGCCAGCCGATGCGGACCCATTCCTTCAGGTTGTCATAAGTGACGTTCTTGAGCGTAGGCATCTCAGTGGCATTGAGGAGATTAATGTATTTCTCCACCCATTCACTGTTTGATTCAGTAATATCGAGGGTCCAAGAGCCGGTATCGTAGTCGTAGTGGGTCTCCGCGTCGGAGAAAGCCGCACTTGGCTGGTAGGAGAAGTAGACTTGCTTCCCCTTCGTATCGTGCATTCCCCGCATGATTTCTTTTGCGACTTCCACACCTTGGGCAGAAACAGTGCCGTTCTGAGCGGGGAGCGCATAGGTCTCCGATCGCTTTCTTCTCTTGTAGGTCGTCAGAGAGGAAGCTCCACAACTGTACGGTTCGCCGATCGTGCTGTTAGCGTCGAAGTGAAGCTTGCAGAGGTCCGTTCGCGAAACAACACCATCCTCCTTGCCGTCAAGGGCATCACAAGCCTTGATTGTTTCGTTCACAATCTTCTCAAGCTCACAGGGAGGGGGATAGTAGCCCAAAGTTTGCTCGACAACGGGTGACCAAAGGTGCTGCATTTGTTGGAAAGTGAACCGGAAGCCAGGGGCACCTGTCACGGCCCCGTCGAAGTCCTCTGCAAATCGTTGGATCTGACTGAAGCCATCACGGCCACCCTCAGAGCAACCTTGGTAATAAGAGTAGATGGAGGAGGTATTGAAGAACTTCTTGGTAAGCTCCTTCCCGATGACGGTCAGCTCATGGATAGCCTGGTAACCGAACATGTAGACCGTTTCGTAATTGAGGGTGCCATTAGCTAGAAGCCACACATCGTCCGAGCCATTCTCAAATCCACCAAATCCACCGTCAGTTGTGCCCGCCACAGCACCGTACATGACACCCCCGGGCAAGGAAGTGCTTCCCAATGTGATGTCATATCCACTGCCACCCGTCGACAGGTAACGGTTGGCAAACTTCGACGGAGCGGGCATCCAGTAGCTAACCACCACCCGGTCATCCCGGCCCAAGTGGGAGTAGGCAAAGGTCACATTGCAGTAGTCGAACGTGGCGCCCGGCCAATAGACTTGGTCTGTGCTCGACACGTTGTAGGCTGCTACTGCACTCACAGAAGACCTGTCAATTGAGACGCCAGGATATACGCTGTCGTCCGGCAATGAGATTCTAGCGAAGGAAACTGTACACACATCTTGCAATGTGATGGCTTGGACCGTTCCCGTCAGGGCAAGGGCCGCCGCCCAGAGATAGTGAGATCTCATCACGCACTTGAAGAACAATACTCAAAAGGGAAAACTGAAAGAATAAGGAGAAATTGAAACTGAACGTTGCAACCTCTGTAGGTCTGTCAGCCCATCATCAATACCCTCTAAATACTAGACTATATATTAGACTGTTACAAAAGACAATTATTCCATCCACTACTTCCCGTGTCATGATGCGTCCCGGATGTCGCAAAGTCCCGACGGTCTTGTATACTAGGTTAACTCCACCCCCGTCCCCACAGGCCCGAATGAATTGAGGGTTCTGATGGTGAACGACCTTGTATGTGATAATCTAAACTCGTAGCCGGACGTCTTGGCATGCATACCAGTAACTCCGAGGTCGTAGTATTTGTAGAGTGGGACTCGCAAGGTCACCCCATCTTCGGTTACGTTAAAGGGAACGAATCATCGTCTGGATTTAGCGAAATTAAGCTCGGCCCATTGATAAAGTCCGTATATTGGATGGCAGTTTTGATGCCCGCTTAATGCCGACAGGGACCAGTGGGACGTTCCACATTTTCGCAAAGTGGCTCCTTTCCAGGTTAAGCCTATCATACGAAGGGAAGTGATCGACGTCGAAGCGGGTCTGCTTGATAAGATCAAGACCGAGATGATCGATCTTGAATCTGATTCGGCATCAAACCAGGTACTATACTGAATCATTTAACTCACATGCGAGGGCTCAGTCTCAGGGTTTTCCTGAACGAGCCTCAATAGCTCCGAGCGCGTCGCAACCGGTGTCTACATAGTACGTATCCTCCGCATCTCCCGTCTACGTAATCTTGCCGGGTCCACCGAAGAAGGTACTCCGCAACTCTGCAGACATCGTTTCGGACTAAGTATACTCGACGCTCGAACCCAGTATTACACTCCTGACTCTCTTCGCAGAAATATCTCGTCTCGGGGTTAGCTGATTTCAACACTGTCTAGGTCCACTTCGTCCTTGATTTAGACATCTTCGTAAATACCGGAGGCTGTGAGGACGACGTATGGCGGTAAAAATGGCGCATGCATGCTGTTGGTAGCGTGTGTGCCGATCACCGGTACAATTATCGGGAACGGGAAATGGAGCAGGTTCTGAATATTCCATCGTTCGTCTAGAACGAGATAGGGGGTAGACAGGACGATCCTTTATTTTAATCCGCTGTCATGAGCCGTTGAACTCTGTCAATTCACATCCCATTCGCTATTTTCCATTCCGATCAGTCACTTGCATCTATTTCATATTCTGTCCTTCAAATCAATGCATTTGCATACCATCCTGGCAGCGGGCTGGCTCGCAGCCAGCACCGCCTATGCCGGGCTTTCCTCTCCTTCTACGCAAGCATGTGCAGGCAACACGCCGCAAACCCGTGATCAGTGGTGCGATTTTGACATTCACACCGACTACTATACCGAAGCTCCGGACACCGGAGTAGTTCGTGAATATTGGTTGGAGCTGGGAAACACCACCGCCGCTCCAGACGGCGTCCCTCGCGACGTCCTGACCATCAACGGAACCTCACCAGGACCTACTATTTACGCCAATTGGGGTGACTGGGTCCGAGTTCATGTCTACAATGGTCTGGAAAACAACGGAACCAGCATCCATTGGCACGGTGTCCGCCAAAACCACACCAACCCTCAAGACGGCACAAACTCCATTACCCAATGTCCCACGCCCCCTGGAGGATCCATCACTTATGAATGGCGCGCCACGCAGTACGGCACAACCTACTACCACTCTTACTTTGCTCTGCAAGCATGGGATGGCATCTACGGTGCTATTGTGATCAACGGACCTGCCAGTTCGAACTACGATGTCGACGCTGGCGTGCTTTGGCTCATGGACTGGTCACACCGCACGGCCGACCAGATGTATTCCACTGCAGAAACGGATGGCGAGCCCGAGATGACCACTGCTCTGATCAATGGAACGAACATTTGGGTTAAGGAGAACAACGAAACTGTTGGCGAGCGCTTCCTCATGAATGTGACTGCTGGCCAGTCTTACCGTCTTCGACTTGTTAATGGTGGAATGAGCAATTTGTTCCGATTCATGATCGATGATCACACTTTGACCGTTATCGCGGCGGATTTCGTCCCCATCGAGCCTTACAATACGACGTCTCTTAACATCGGAGTTGGTAAGTCATTCCGCTGCATAGCAATCGAAGAGACACTTACCAAGACCCTTAGGACAACGGTACGATGTAATTGTCACAGCAAACCAAGCCCACGCCGGGTCTGACTTCTGGATGCGCGCCATACCCCAGGAGGCCTGCGCCGAGATTGAAAACACCGACATTAAAGGAATTTTCCACTACGAAAAGCCTGACACTGTTGTAACGACGCCCACAACAACAGCATACAACTACACCGACAGCTGCTACGACGAGCCGTTGAGCAGCATGGTGCCGGTGGTTGCCATTGACGCGTCTGGCGTCGGCTTTAGAAGCCACAACGAGGCGAACGTCATCATGAACAGTGCAGGCTTGTACAAGTGGTACATGGGCCCGACCACGTTCAAGGCAGAATGGGACAACCCGACCCTGCTCCAGATCGCTAACGGCAACACTTCCTGGACTAACACATCCCACGTTGTTGAGGTCGAAGGCAACGGCAAGTGGGTGATTGTCGATATTGAAATGACCATCAATGTTCCTCATCCTATTCATCTTCACGTATGTTCTTCTAATCCTCGAGACTGCTCGCTTTACTCCCATTGCTAATATAAATTTCAAAAGGGCCACGACTTCTTCATCCTCGCCCAGGGCGATGGAAGCTACACGTCGAACACAACTCTGAACACCTACAACCCACCCCGTCGTGATACGGCCATGCTCCCCGCCCTCGGCTATCTGGTCATTGCATTCAAAACTGATAACCCTGGCGCGTGGTTGCTGCATTGCCATATTGGCTGGCACCAGTCGGAGGGCTTTGCCATGCAATTTGTGGAAAGCATGTCCCAGCTCGAGCCTATGATTGATACTTTCGCACTCGAGAAGAACTGTGCTGCCTGGGATGGATATGCTGCTGCTAACAGCATTGAGGAGGATGATTCTGGTATTTAATCGGGATGAGTTGTCCGGGTGGAGTCAAGATTTTCCTTTCTTCACAGCGCTTTTTGAATATGTACAAGAGTTTGTTACTGGGCGGCTTATCTTAGTGTCTAGACAATCTATATCTGATCCTCCCCTCACAGTCAAGTACATGATCCTTCCCACAGGAGGTAATAATCCATGTCAGTCGCTTCTATATTACCTTGCTTCTACACTGGAGAACATTAAAGGTAAACCAGGTTTCGAATACTCCATGGTAAACAGATCCTTTCTCTCGGGCGGACGGAAATAAGGCGGGAGCTTGATGTCAAAGTTTCGGAATAGGTATGCCATGACAATTGTGACCTCGGCGTATGCGACACTACACATCAGACGTTAGTGATATCGCATAAGGTAGTAGTTGGGAGCGAACGGGAGAACATACTTTTGACCAAGGCACATTCGAACACCCTTGGAGAATGTACAAAGATATTGCTCCAGGGACTTCGCTTCCGGCTGAAGCCAACGGTCGGGATTGAAGGCGCGGGCGTCGGGACCCCAAACCTCTTCGCTGGTATGCATTGTGTATGTTGACATGGAGACAACAGTCTCAAAATATTCAGTAAGATAATGTGCATTTAATCATTTGGTACCAGACTTACACCGGGCGGGATGACCTGTCCTTCAACAACGAATGGCTCGTCGAGGTTATTAGGTACGACTCTCGGCAGGCGTCCAGGCACCGGCATGGCGATTCTGAGAGATTCCTTAACACATGCAGTCTAAGGGGTGGTCAGCGAGGCGATTAGTTCTTGTTTGTTCGGGGTGTCTATACATACCAAGTAAGGAATCTTTTCTAGTTCCTGAAGTTGAGCCGCCGAAGGATCATCCACGCTGATGTTCGCTGCTCGAAGAGCATCTGCTAACTTGGAATAAATAGTTGGGTTCGAGAGTATATGCATAAATCCAGCAGTGAGAGTTGATGCTGTAGTGTCAGCTCCTGCAATCAGGATGTCAAGTGCCTCGGTGACCTTGTAATCGTGTGGCAGGGAAAATAGGTTTTCAAACACAACAGGATGAGTTGTCGTATTTCCGTGCACCTCATAATGTTCTAGACAGCTTTCGGCAAACTAAGTAAACAACCCATGACATTAGCATAAAATGGTTGACTGGCGGAAATATACTAGCTCAGGACCTACCTTTAACATTTTGAGAACATTGACGATATTGGGATCCACCAGTCCAATGAAACTCATGGGGACAACCCCCAAGGCTTTCCGAGCGATAGGCCATTCCTGCATCTTCCATATGCTTCGCGCAACGGCGTCGAAGGCGACTAGGAACCAAGATTCAAAAGTAGTTTCGCTCTCTTCTAGCATGTTTGCTGATTTCGCAAAGGCGAACTCCATAATGACCTCAGTTGTAAGGCATCTGCCGAATCCGATGTGTCAGCCGTGCCCATGTCCTCGGTTATATGGGACAAGTATGCCCTTGTAGAATTCCGATCAGAGAAGCTACATCGTGACACTTACCTGAAAGCATCATACACATTAACAGTGTGACTGTTCTCAAGTCGCCGGATCTTGTTCATCAGAATCTCTGCCTTCTCATGGATGATGGGTTCGAGTTTGAAGACACCCGCCCGGGAGAAGAAGGGATTTAGTAGCCGTCGGCGCTCTTTATGCATTCCCGCGTCGATCTCGGTGAAGACTGTATGGGGTGTGTTGAAAGCTTCATAGAACTCTGCATGCTTCGGGAACGGTTTGCTTTGACTATATATGACCTTGTACATGTGAACATCGGTAATATGTAGCTCGTTGGGACCAATGCGTAGCGCTTGCGTTTCTATCCGAGATTTAGAGAGATTCCGACTTAGCACTTCCTAACTCCCAAAGTTCATGCAATATCATGAAAGGCAGCGAAGATTAGGTGCAACTCACGATACTTCTTATGAAGCTTTTCGAGGTCCTCCTCGGGAAAGCCACGGTCGGTCACTTTGTAGATCCAATGCCGCGATGAAGCAGCCTCGGGAGGACCACGAAAGCGAGACAACGGATGCCAGTTGCGATAATATAAGCGCTTGATGAAGGCGACAGTGATTAGGGTGGCTACGGTGGCTGTACAAATGATACCGAGCCCTTTGGATGCGGGTGCTTCTGCCACCTGCTCCATTAAGTGTTTGTACATACTGGCCATATCGGTCCACGTCAGTTGAACCGCCTGAGGAATCGTGGCTTCCTCGTAGGTTCTATTTTTCGATGGTGCAAGACCAGGGCTCACCACGAATTTATATAGACCGCATATTGTGTGATAGATCTTACAATTAGTGAAACGGTGAATTGTCTTTGCATTACTCAGCGGGAATAACCCAAGATGCAGACTCCGCTCGGCTTGTTGTTCTGGTATTTTGTCCGCAGCCCTAGTCGCAACGGTGGAGCTGCGGATAAAGTAAAGACCCTGTATACCAACCAATCAGGCCACAGTAATTATTACACCTCAATTGTAGACAGCTGGAATCAGTTACTAGATTAACGACAGATGCAATAAAGGCGTCGAACCTCGGGGTTTGTTCAGAACAGTGACCCGGCCTAAACACCTGTATCCGCTTACTGACTGTTCCCTGTAACTAAATGGTTGCCATTAACAATGCCGCAACCAATTACCAGGGTTCCCGTCCGCGCCGAACTCAGGCTATTCTGTGCCTGGCAGAGAGCCGTCTGGTGAGTACTAACCCAACTAGTACTGGGGGCCTATGGCACTAGACCCGTTGGATGCAAAATCCAGTTTATTCTACTATGAAGACCCACAGACACGTTTGACCCTTCAGCACGATTTTATATGTCATGCAACTGCATATACTAGGCAGGCTCCACTAATGTGATGGAGTGTTTGTCTGCATAACTCAAGGCGTGACGGAGATTGGTCCTCATATAACACAGAAGTTCAGACACAAATCCCTTATCCGAGCCGTTTCTCTTAGTCTGTAGGTTTGGGCCGCATCCACTCATGCCACGGTAAAGAGAGTTCCTTCAGATAGTACCTGCAGTAGATTTGCTAGCTCGTACTTGATTTTCGCACCGCCAGATGGGGCGTGATGAGCCGGGTGAATTTAAGAAAACGGAAAGTGATGAGACGATCAGAAGTTCTTCAGGCCCGACCCCGCCTGACGCTAAAAAAAAAGCAGGATTACAGATCGATCGACCCACCATATAGTATACTTCTAGCAGCCAAAGCCGAAGAGTAACTACTTGGTGCTGGGAGATGATTGACCTTTCATAACCCAGTGTGTGCGCACGCACAGACAAGCGAGATGACCGGTTCATTCCGCGGAAATCTTGTTCGCACATGTTGAATAGCTTACTCAGTAGGGCTAAGTTACAATCCCCCCCACCCAAAATGCTCTTTCACGACAGTTGAGCTCCTCATTGATAGGTATGGAGGCGCGCTGACATCAGTGACTGGCCGGCATATCATTTGGTTTATTTCCTTATAATGAACCAAAAGACTTGAATTTCGCTCGAATGTCCAGCAGCAGATTTAAAAAAATAATGGTTACATGTCTATCCAACCGTTAGGGAGCTAAATAGTCTTGGCTCCTGCCATCCCGATATTATGGGCTGGCAACTTCGGGCGGTTACAGTACTACGTAAGTCATTGATTCTCACCACTATCCTCGTGGTTAGTTATGATATTCATATTCTATCTGTCCTTCTTGTATGAACACCTGCCTAACCTTAAGAAAGTGTCCGGTCTTCACACCTGAAACATAAACCTGACACGATGGCATCATACTCCTTAGGGAAAAAAGGAGATGTACGATTCACTGACATATATCTGCTAACCGGTGCGCATATTTGCGAGACATCAAAAGCCAAAACACAGTCAATAGTGCACAATAGGCGGGATAGAAAAGAACTTAGAACTTGGAGGAGTTATACTTCTTGTTCGGACTTTCCAAGCTTGAGTAGGCATGTATATCGGTAACGGGCTTTCTTGGCACACATTTAGTGCGGCCTCTTGGGGATGTCGCGCTGCTGGTCTCCGATGGTCTTGAAAGAAGGAAAAATCGAAGATCCTTTGGGAATAAGTTCGGGGAATATACAACTCTGACTAACTGCTGTCGCTCACTGGATGGCCTCAGGAGCCTGTTCAACCATAAGATGACGAATTGGGTTTACACCCAAAGCAAATCCCACTATTTCTAATGGCATGAGTACAAACGACATTGGCAAACCTTCAACAATAGACGACGTCCTAACTTCATATCCTACTGATGGTTGCCGCTGTTTATCGGCAACTCTCTATTTTCCCATCCATCTACTTTGTGCTTATCTTGCGCTGAAACTCGATCTCCTCGCTGCGATAATTGACCCTTAGGTAGTTCTTTGCGACCATTCTATAACCTACTAATGAGGGCCTTGATATACATCTACAAAAAGAACCTACCGACGTAAAAATAAGACGATATTCATCATACCCTCTTCGCACTTGTGGAGGTTCTTGTACCCGATGACGTGTGTCACGGGGCGTTCTAGGCCCAAAATGTACCGCGTTTATGCCATCCTCTCCGTTACAAATGTAGAAAATATGATTGTGACCTAGGACACGCGGCTCGTATTTCGAGCACGATGGGAGAATCGCATTCAACACGTTGTGAGTGCTCCGCTGGTACTAAGGGTTGGCAGTAAGGAAGTTCTGCAGCTAACAAACAACTATACACTACTACCAAAAGCCACTTGCACCAGTTGTGGATGCTGCCTTGAAGATACCGATCCGAACTTTCCTAAATTTCGCAGCACTGCGTGGCCTACTCTGGTTAGAAGACCAACCCCCCCCCCCCCCCCCAACACACACAATGTGAGGAAGCACTGAACTCTCATATCAACCTTACCCTGACAGAGTGAAGTGGGCGAGATTATTGATTCCATGCTGTATGAATCGAAGGGCCGTCACGATATGGCCGAATGCAACACGAGTCAGTTGGTGTTGATATTCTGATCCACATCAAGTGAGAACAACTAACAGACACACTTATATGACCACGTCTTACGGGCCTGTGTTGCCAGCTCGTCAATATGATACATAAGTTCATCACCTGTGTTGGCAACTGCATGTGCCTAGCGGAATATGCGGTGGATGCAGATATTTCTGTGGTATGCAGAATCGGAGGTAATCCACACCATCGTTGCTCATAACCGACTTATGAGCGCTTGCGAAGCATAAATGATTTCACAAAAAGCGGGGTCACTCCTCAGATCGAGGTTATGTTGCACACTTTGGCCAGAGCTCGGTAACTAACGCGTGGTGGCTGGCTAGCAATAGACCCACTACTACCAGTTACTTCTCTATCATGTTGAGCTCAATGGCTACAACGTGCAGGGCATGTTATCTTGTGCTTGCTTTTTGCTCCTCCATTCAGGGACATGTGGTGTGCCAGGAAGCGGGTGAAGGCACGTGTCTGGGTCCGAGCTTGACAGCTGTCTCCACCCCAATAAGGAGTCGTGTCTCTCGAAGCAGCCATTCAGAAATGATCCAGTAACGATTCGTCCATTACAGAGCTTACTGCTCCTCCTAGATTTGTCAGGGCGATCATTCTGTTAGCTCCTAGGGGGTCTATCCTTGTTTCGTGTATACGTGTGCATTTAGGCTGCCCCGTTTAATTGAAAATTCTAGGGCTCTGCTAGATAGCCTGAGTGTCGAACTTCCGGTATCCGTTGCGGGCATCGAGGCATCCGGCCACCGAGTTGCATATCGCCCTCGTCTGGAATTATCATTGCCCCTCTGACATTATTAACTGGCGTCTCCTATTGGGCTGAGACGCGGGACGCGGACGGACCGTAGCACAGCGTGCAGATCGCCTCTCCACTCTATCTGCAGCTCAACGTCCAATCGATGCCATCAGCTGCAAGTCTGCCGTTTTATTCTCAACAGCCTCTTCACAGCCATCTCAATATTGGTTTGGGGTTTAACGGAAAGTGAGGAGAACAATGGAGTACTTTAGTCAACCAGAGGACTAGAAGGTGGACGAGTTTGAAATAACAGAAGAAATTTTGAATGCTGGGGCTAATAGGAGGAGCCGGCGCATATGCCGCATCATCGCGGCATTATCAACTAGCATCGTCCGCCCCATCGCCTAGATTTAGTGGCAACGTATGTCCGACACTTACCCCGCTTCTATCTCCATGCTGTTGCCCACACCTCCTGCTCAATACGGCGTCGTAACGCCAGTATGTTAACGATTGCAGCTCAGGTGCGACCGACCAGAAGACTTATAATCGGCTCTCACCCCGGCCCTCCAGCGTGCATGACAACCAAATCAAAGCCTTGCATTGAAGACATCATGCCTACTGTTCTGGCTCTCTTTGGGATATCGTACCTCGCGTACACCATTTGTGCTGCCATCTGGAACATCTACTTACATCCGCTCCGTCGGATCCCCGGACCAAAGCTATGGCTGGCTTTTCCCATCTTGCGCTACATCTCAAACATGAGAGGAGTACTAGATAGGGACATGCGAGCACTCCACAAGAGGTACGGTGGGGTCGTCCGCTTCACCCCAAATGAGGTTTCCTTCATCACCACCCCGGCATGGAAAGACATTTACGGCCATGGACATCGACAGTTGCCCAAGGTATCAGGGTCAGCGAGCAATCCCAAGGACATTATTAGTGCAAATGACTCCGATCATACTCGATTTCGCAAGGCGATATCCCATGCTTTCTCTGCTAAGGGCCTTCAAGCCCAAGAACCGTTCATCATGGAGTACGTCGACAAGCTTATCAATAAGTTGCACAGCATGGCTGAGTCACAAGTAGCCGTGGATATGGCGAAGTGGTATAACCTTACAACATTCGACCTGATTGGAGACCTCGCGTTTGGACAATCATTTGGTGGACTGGACTCAACAGAGTACCACTACTGGGTATCGACTATCTTTGAGTTTATTAAGGCCATAGCATTCGCTAAGTTCAAAGATGATTATCCGATGGTGTTCAACGCTCTGAAGCGCTTCCTACCAAAACACCTCCTGGAGGCGAAAAGAAGACAGGATGAATATAGCTGGAATACAGTACAGACACGGTTGCACGATCAGACGGACCGTGGCCAAGCGGACTTCATGCAGTCCATGCTTCGTCACCGCGGCGACAAGGACGGGCTGACTGATGAGGAACTCGCAGCCAATGCAAGCATCCTTGTCATTGCTGGCAGTGAGACCACAGCAACACTTTTGTCGGGACTGACATACTGGTTGCTACAACACCCTAAGGAAATGGAGAAAGTCAAGTTCGAAGTGCGATCTGTCATGAAGACTGAGGAAGATATCACCGTCAACAATGCTACAGCTAAGCTTCCGTACATGTTGGCATGTATCGATGAGGCGTTTCGCATGTACCCGCCTGTTGCGGGCCATTTGCAGCGATACATACCAGACCAGCCTACTGAAATTTCGGGATATCTCCTCCCCAAAAAGGCAAGTCCCACTTAGAATAGTGAAATAACCAATGCTAATGCCTTTCAGACCAGAGTATCTGTTCATCAGTCTGCTGCATACCGGTCGCCCCTTAATTTCTATAAATCCGAAGAGTTTATTCCCGAACGGTGGTTGCCTGAATCGAAGAATGATACATCGTCGCCGTTCTACCATGATAATCGGGAAATTTTGCAACCATTCTCAATTGGTCCCCGGAATTGTATAGGTCGGAACTTGGCTTATGCAGAAATGCGTGTCATTTTTGCCAGAGTACTATGGAACTTTGACATCGAACTGTGTGAGGAGAGTCGGGTGTGGCATAATCAGAAGTCATACACCCTGTGGGCGAAACCTCCACTTATGTGCAGGCTCAAAGCTAGGATCCATTGATGTTCTCAATCGAGTGTGCCTGTGGTGTTCAACAGGTCTTTCGCTCATGACGATCAATTGCTTGATAGGGTGGTATGTAGCAAAATATTATTTGATCTCAATTCGATATTTCAATGCGCCTTAATTTACCTAACGACTTGGAGTTGGCCACCAGAATTGGTTTTTATGAGCCCGCCCGTTCTTTTCCCTGAAGCTCAACTGGACTCCTGCATGGAGCATCAACACAACGGCTTGTATGGATTGGATCCATCTTTGAACTCTTTAGAGGTTGGTCTATGCAGATCCGGGGTGAGCTACCCCGAGTTCTCCCCACCCCCGCAAATGCGGGGTGACGGAGATCCTCCGATACTTAAGCCCTGCTCTGTTTTCACTTCCATCTTTGTATCCTGCCTCTTTCACCCAGCATAGAGATCTCTCGCCATGTCTAAGCCAACAGAGGAGTATACTGAATATCATGAGAATGCAGCGAAGATCCAAGCATCGACCCAAGATGCCATCTACCAGACATACGTTGCCAAGAGCCCCGAATGGCATCGGAAGATGACCAAGCAGCTCCTGCGAAAGGTGGACTTTCATCTTCTTCCGTTTTTGGTGGTGATGTATCTGCTCAACTTTCTCGACAGAAAGTACGTTCTGCCCGGCCCTGGACAAGTCCAATGTAGACTAACACCTACCTCAGTAATCTTTCACAGGCCCGACTAGGCTCTCTCGAACAAGACCTCGGAATGAAAGGAACAGACTACAATCTAGCCACGAGTATCCTCTTCGTCGGGTATCTCCTCATGCAACTGCCGTCGAACCTCCTTCTTACGCGCGTGCGACCGTCATTATTCCTGGGGACATCAATGGCTATTTGGGGTGTCATCTCGGCCTGTCAGGCTGCAACACAAACATTCACGGGATTGGTCCTTGCTCGTTTCTTCCTTGGCTTTGTGGAGGCGCCATTCTTTCCGGGTGCAATCATGCTGATGTAAGTTGTGCAACAATAAGCCCATTTGTGCAGTGCTAATGTGTACAGGTCGAGTTGGTATACCAGGCAAGAGGTAAGTAGGCATTAGGCCAGTCTGACCTATGAGATGTTGAACTGATCGATATAGCTGAGTCATCGCATTGCGTGGTTTTATGCTGGAAGCTCCCTAGCAAATGCGTTTGGTGGCCTGATTGGAGCTGGAGTGCTGGGAAACTTGGATGGAGCGCATGGGATAGCAGGATGGCGATGGCTCTTTATTATCGAAGGGTGCATTACTGTTGGAGTATCACTGACGTCAACGTGAGCTTCCCACTGTCGATCTAATATGGTGATCTCTGACTGTATAGACTACTCCTGCCGAACTACCCCGCTACCACCTCATGGCTCGACGAAACGGAGAAGCTATACGCGCAATGGCGACTCATCCACGACGCTGGAGAAGCAGACGAAGCCACATCGAACAACATCAAAGAAGCGCTTTATCTAGTGTTCTCAGATAAGCGAATCTACCTTTTTATCTTACTCCAGCATGCGTCGCTCCTATCGCAAAACTTCCAATACTTCTTCCCCACCATCGTCGAGACCCTCGGCTATGGAAATATCGAGACTTTGCTAATAACTGCCCCTGTTTGGATCGCTACCTTCTTGGTATCTCTTTTCGTGACATGGACATCTGGAAAGACAAACGATCGCGGAAAACACATTATCCTGTTGATGCTTGTTAGTGTGGTGGGATGCATCATCTGCACTGCTACGACGAACATTGGTGCGAGGTTTTTTGGCATGTTCCTGTAAGCATCCCCCCATTCCTTTTCTCTCCTTTTTGGCATTCAAGCTCAATGATAATGTAGAATGCCTATGGGCGCCGTATCCGCCTACCAAATTATCATTGCCTGGGTGGCCAACTCCTTCCCCCGCCCGCTGGTAAAACGCTCAGCTGCAATCGCAACGGCAAACATGATTGGCAACACAGCGTCCATTTATGGAAGTTATATGTGGCCGTCGTCATCAGGACCAAGATATATCGCCGGTGGCGCTGCCACAGCAGGGATAGCCTTGCTTGTTGCGATAATAGCCTTCGCCATTCGTATCGTGCATCTGAGGATGAATAAGGCGCTGGATGCGGCGGAACAGGATAGGGTAGGGGCTGAGGTTGATGATTTGGAAGCTCGGAATGCTGGGTTTAGATATATTCTATAAAGTTGCTTTTGGAGCATGTCATTAAGATGCTTTGGAATATTAGATGCGGTTGAAGGCGCTCAGATGACGAAGGGGATGACCTCATCTGCAACATAGGACAGATTGAAATGCCGCATCACCATATACTTCTGCAGCTCGTGTCGTAGGCTCCAGAATTCTCTCCAATGGAGATTTACTAGGCCAAGAGTGAGATAAGCTTATTTACATGACGTGGACTAGTCTGTTGTCTGTTTGCTAAAGATCTTATGATCCAGCTTCACTGATCCCACCAGTGATGTACTTGAATATAAAGGACTATCCAAATAGCTTATTAGGAAACTTAGCTATCCATCTCCTTCCTTTCCACCTCGTTCCCACAACCCTCATAATGAAGTTCCTCCACATAATCCTCCACCTAGTAGGCTACGCCCTAGGCCAAACCTCCACCACGACCACCACCCTCTCGTTGTCGTCATCATCCTCCACTTCATCCTACAGCACGATCCAAATCTTCAACATTCTCCCCACCTCACTAACCTCCCAAACCACAACCCCAACTCCCTCAACAACCCTCGCCACCTTCGACGCCAGCATCATCTCCGCCTCATCCTCCACCACCATCCTCGCCGTAACCTGCAACGGCGCGTGCCCCATCCCATCCATCTACACCATCACCGCGGCGCCCTCCACCTACGTCGAGCACGGCTCCTTCATCGGCTCCGCCAACGGCCTTACAGTGACGACCTCCCAGAGTAACGCGTGCAATATCACCTCCTCGACACAGACCGCGTCGTGCTCTGTCACTATCGGGTACTATGGGACTGTGAGTGGTGGGCAGAATTCCTCGTCTGTGGTTACTTCCGGCACTTCGTATGGGTCAGGTGAGATTTGGTATATGCCTGTTACTGTTACGGCTGGGGCGGAGAAGTTGGCAGCTGCGACGCAGACGACTGGGGGTGGGGGTGGAGGGAGTGGGAGTTCGAGTGGTGGGGGGAGGGTTGAGGTTGGAGGATGGGGTTGGGGTTGGGGCTTGGGGGTGGTGATGATGGGGGTGTTGGTTTGAGTTATGGGTGGGGTTGACAGTCTTATTGAATAGTTGCAAAGGGATCGGGTGAATTTGGGATGACATCTTAGTAGTTTGTGTCTGGTGGTTCTTCGAACTCTGCAGTTGCAGAGCATTGTAGTTTTCGCAGTTTTCAAGGCTGGAAACACTCTTTCTAAGGAGAGAAAGTGACCTCGTGCGTTTCGGTATGACCCGTGGATACTCCCATTATTCACCCTACGTTCGTCAATAATGTTTAGTGTCGAGGTTATTGCTTGTCCTGCCATGCGTGAACCGTGGGTGTCCAAGTACATACAATAGTAAAAGCAGGCACATCCCATGCGGGAAGCAAAGGGTTAACTGCATATACCGAGATGTGACATACACCTTCCGTGCCGGCTTTTCCGAGTAGACTCGGCAATGTTTGGTCAGTTCCACATGAGATACTCTTTCGATAGCCGAAGTCATTGGTAGCCGTCATTGTATCGGATAGGAGGAATATATCAGCGTACAAATAGCGTCCATGCTCGGTATCCGCCGGGTATGTAAGTTAGTATCGTTTAACAGAATGCTAGATATGCAATCAAAATCTCTGCCATATCCATTGACAATAAAGATGCTACATTGCATCTCAGTTTGCGCTTTCGGAAGCAACACCCGTCGCATCGGAATCCCCCAGTCAAGAGGACCTATTATATATAACTTATCTAGTTGTGCCCATGGCTATATAAATCCGACTCATCCTGATTTCTTTGTCTGCCCCATAAAGAACTATCAACCCTCTAATTTGACAATATCTCTATCCGGTAAATAACCTAACCATCAAGTGCTGTGGCACTGACACTTGGCGCAGCAATGGAGACATCGCAGCCAGATGTCGCTGGCCCTCCCGGCGCACGCACCGCATGTAAGTTATCTCCACCTTCCATGCCATAGCTAATTCCTTCAGGTGGAAGCTGTGCGATCCATGGAAAGTCTTGCAGGGTCAAAGAAGGAGAAACCGCCTGTACTAGATGCTCGCGTCATGGGCTCAATGAATGCGATGCGTATTTTGCAATGGTGCAACGCCTCAAGGATGAGAAAGAGTATGCCACAGCCACGTATATCCCACAATCCTCACTGACAAATTTAGATTCAAAGACAAACTTATCCGTGAGGTCGCTGACCTGCGAGAAGAAATCAACACACTCTTGAGGAATACGCCTGGCGCAGTGTCCCTGTCTGATGCAGTTATTCGTCTGAGAAATCTCCGCATTGAATCAGGCTCCGGAGGTAGTAGAGCGCCTACGGAAAATGATCTCATCTCGGAGGGTGTTGTCTCCCTAGAAGAGGCAGAAGATCTGTTCAACATGTTTACTACATGTGTTAATCCGCTTCTATGGGATGGGCTTCTCATGCAACATGAGACTCTGGACTCTACCCGCAGGTCATCGGCGATGCTCACGGCAGCCATCCTTTCTGTCGCTGCATTACTTGCTCCAGACCAATCCGAAGTATACGAGAAATGCCACGAAGTCTTCGTGTCTCTCTCCCTCATGCGGAGGTTGATGAATCCTCACCATAATAGCTTGGACGATGTTCGCGCTTTGTGCATTGGTGCATTCTACTTCAAGTATATGGGGGAGCAGCTCTCGAGCGAGGCCATTCGCATTTCAAGCGAGCTCAGCCTAGATGAAGCCTTCCATCGGTACATGCGGGGCGAGGTAGCCGATATGGAACAGGTTCGGCTGTGGTGTCTCGCCTATATATGCGGCCAATACTTCACCACTGGGCGTGGCTGTCCTCCAAAGGGCGTTGGATACAAGCCGA